TAAATGCTTTTTCTAAAAATGTGCCACATGCAGAATTTTAATTTTTACAGTTTTGTGTAACCTAAAAGTTTCTTAAATAGAATCTATAAAAATATTTTGGATGTTCCAAAATCAAACCTAAGATGTCAATTTCTGACCTGTGTTGCACAGATGTTATTATACATCAATGAAAATTCGGATGTTGTTGGACAGATGTTATTAAACATTGCAAAAACGGATGTTGTTACCCTAACCTGTTTGTAATAATGCTTTAGCAGACAAATATATATCGCTCTGTTAAAGCATTATCACAATATCAATATATCACTCCGTATCAACGTATCAGTTTAAATTGTACTAGAGATATATCTATTATTACATATATTATGCAGGGCCGACAACACGAAAGGGATGAGGAGGGGAGGGGCAAGGGGGTACAAACACCTACTTTTTTTTCTTTTAAAAAAAATTCTAGATATAAAGGACTTTTTTTAAGAAATTTTTGATTGTCCCCCCCCTTCCCACTTCGAAACCTGTGTCGTCGGCCATGTTATATGTGATAATAGATAAGGGAAGTGGGGCATAACCGCCCTCGTAACGTTTTAATTAATGTTATATGAAAATAAAAACGAAATGTGTTTTTTTCAAAAACCACATTATTAAAATTTACATTGATGTAGTTAAGAAAAAAATTAAACGGTTTTTGAAAATGTTATTACACAAAAATTACACTTTGTAAAAAAAAAAAACGGTTATGCCCCAGTAATGAGACACAACCGCATCCTCACAAAAATTGTTGGGGGTACACTTGAGAGATTTTCTTTACAATTGTCACAGCTCAGATTATTTGCTAATTTTGTTTCACGTTTGCGTATTGTGTAGACATTCTTTGTACTTACAGTCTGACTTTTCTCATTCGATATACTCTTAGTTTATATTTTATTCAAAAATTCATTTATAAAAATTAAATAAAAATTACAAAATCTAATTTCCAACATCTCAAAACAAAACAATTACTATTCAAGTTTTTCATAAACGCATTCAAGTGTGACGATTGTAACTGTTGTTATTCGTAATTACCTAACTTTGATAAATATTAAAAGTAGCTTGCTTATTAGGTTATGTTCATATCAAAAATGGTTTTCATTCGATGAAACACTGATAACACATATCTTAAATACTAAAATCAAATATTGCTTAATCCCTCAAAAATAAGGTCTGATGTAAATAAAATATTTTTATCAAAATAAACATTATTATGCACAACTTCTCAGAAACGTAACAGGCACTCTTTTTGACATAAGCAAAATGAAGGAAACTGTTTTGATAACGCGTGGTATTTTTTTTGGCCATATTAGATAACATATTTTATAAAGATAAAGATAAATGTTAAAAAAAGGTTGTGCCTCCATATGCGGTTATGCCCCCACTTCCCCTATATCAAGTGTTTATGAAACAAGTTCGTTTACAAGATTTTGTAAAAGAAGTTATTAATTTAACAATCAATGTGTTAATTATTAATGAAAAAAAGTATAAATTTATTTTTTGCTGTTTTATTTATGATGCTCTAGGACGTGCATTTGTTAGATGTTGCTCAGGTCACACTTTAAAAAACGTGTTAAGTGTACTTCTTCATTTTAAAAAAAGATTATTTATAAAAATAATAAAATTTTAAGACTGATGCTGAGTTTAGGTTAAATGCTTACTTATGGCAAAGAATTGAAACAGCATTTGCTTCCAAAAATAATAGCTCAGATTTGGTTTGTTCATTTGCCATTGAGTCTATGCTATTTATCACTTGGAGTGTGTCATCAATTTCTTTATTTTGTGTTGAATTCATATCAAAAATTTACATCAGCTTTGCTTAGAAACAAATAATTTTAAATCAAATGCTGGAAATAGACCGGTTCATTGCTTCTGAGCTAGATGTCTAAGAGAAATACTTCTTAAGTAAATATAAAATATATTGTGAAGTAATGGAAACGAAAGGAAGGAATAAAAGCCTTCTTTTTTGTGAAGTAATGGAAACGAAGGAGAATAAAACTTTTTTTGCTTCTTTTAGAGTAATAAGAGTAATATTCTTGAATTTTTCTTATAATATTATTTTCTAACTATAAATTACCTTTTCTTTTTAATGTTGTAAATTTATTTATTCTTAGTAACTCAAATATAAAGGTTTCTTAAATTTATTAATGTTTTGCAATTTCTATAAATAAGAAAGTTCTTTTATTATAATTAAAATATAATTTACTAACTCAATTTTAAAAAATTAATGTATAAATTGTAAACAGCTGATAAAAAATACAAATTAACATAGTATATATCCGATATCAAGCTCAAAATAAGCTCACTAATTTAGATATACGTTAAAGTTGTTATTTGAGTTTATTGTATTAATATTAAGACTTAAATAATTTTTATAATATGTAAGCTGCTATTAATAAAAATTGTATTAACTAAACAAAAACATATTAACATATCCACTCTGGTATTTTTATACAAAATTTTAAGTTCTTTGGTGCTTATCTTACATCATAGGGATAAAGGCAAATTGAGTGACAAAGAATACAGAAAGATAATACTAACCTAAGTGAAAATTTTAGAATTTATGTGGTATGTTTCTTTATTTTAAACCGATTGTATGCATTCAGTTTAGAGTAAAAACTTTTCTTTTGCTTAAATAAATTTTTTTTTCTGATATAGGTTTGTTAATTTTGAAGAACTATCAAAAAACATCCGAAGTTTTGTTTGTCTTCCAAATAGTCCTTTTTTATGAAATACCACCAAAGGTATTTTAATAAATCAATTGCAATTGTTTGCCGTTGTATAGTGCATTTTTAGTTGTGTAAACAGTTATAAATTGTAAGAAATAATACATTTTCTTATATATATGGTTGATACACATACTTCTATACATGGTTTTTACAATGTTATACATATATATATATATATATATATATATATATATATATATATATATATATATATATATATATATATATATATATATATATATATATATAAATGTGTATATATATAAATATATATATAAATGTGTATATATATATATATATATATATATATATATATATATATATATATATATATAAATGTGTATATATATATATATATATATATATATATATAAATGTGTATATATATATATATATATAAATGTGTGCATATATATATATATATATATATATATATATATATATATATATATATATATATATATATATATATATATATATATATATATATATAACATTATACCATTTTCGAAATAAAGTTAAACACAATTAAAGAACAACAGAATAGATTATATACAGTGTATTAATTATATGTATTTAAATATCTTCATAGAAAATAATACTTGCATGGTTTATGGTATCAAGAGTAGTAACTTTCTCTTTAGAAGATTGTTTAGGTATTGCTGTCATAGGCAATTAATTATAAGAGATGCTACCCATTATTAAATTCTCAAACAAATGAGGTTGGTTTGAAGCTACTTTTTAGGTTTTGTTTAACTTGTGATGATGTAGGGTAAGGTTTAGGATTTGCAATAATGCACCATTCTTTTAACTTTTTAATCAATCAATCAATCTGGAAAATTCTGGCAAAAAGATCTAATTTCCACGGTCGTTTACAAATAGTTTTAAAAACTTATATAAAATAAAAACTTCTTTGATGATTTAAAACATATTACAGACACATATAGTTATAATATTAATAAAAATAGCAATGAATTAACAATAACAACAATAATAAAAATAAATAATTGTATAATAATAAGAATAACAATAATAATATTACCAGTAAGTATAATTAACACCCAATAATAATGAATAAAATAAAAACATGATAATAATAAATACAATACATATATAACGGAATTATTAAATAAATATTTAATAGAAGGCTGTCTATTAATTACGTTAACAAAAATTAAAAAAATTAAAACCATTTTTACTTAGTGATACGCCGATAAACGTCAATTGTGCTTAGAACTTTACAAACTGATATCTTAAGTATTAAGTCATCGGTTCGGGTGTTGGGTATGAATTGAGTTAAGTCTGCAGACTAATTGTATTTGAATTATTGATCGCAAGGCAATTGATGTTTCTGTTGAACTAAAAAACAATGCGCACGTTAAGAACTACGGCTCACAATTAAAGGAATGAAAGAACCACTAAAATTCTATCAACAAAAAGCATAAAATGTAGAATTTCAGCGGCTCTGTCTTTCCATTTCCATTTCATTTCGATAGTTTCCGGTGCTATCAAGTTGTCCACACCCAGGAAAAAAAGTTCTAAAGAATTTTATATAAATTTTTGAAACATATGACTTATAGAAGTTCTATAGAATTCTATAGAATTTCTATAGAGTTTCTGTTAACTTCTATAAAAATTCCAATTGAAAATTTTTCTACTTTTTTTTTTTTATAGAAAAAAAAGTTGTTTAGCGATTTCTATAGAAATTACCCAGTGGGAAAAAAGACGTCGAAAAGACGTCTTTAAAAGTCTTATTTACGATGTCTTTAAGGCGTCTTTTTTTAAATCGATTATGCAAATCTAAAAGATCTTTTTTTGACATCAAAAAGACGTCTTTTTTTTATCTTAATCTTGTCATGAAAAGACATAAAAATGCGTCTTTAAGACGCCTTTTTTTAGTCAAATATGCAAATCTAAAAGACATCTTTTCTCGACATCGAAAAGACGATTTTTTTGTCTTTATCTTGTCATGAAAAGACATAAAAAACGACTTTTTTGTCATACTTTTTGGTATACTATAGTATCCTATACACTATAGTATTCCTACTTTTCATACATGAAAAGCTGTTTTTTTCAAATGAAAATGATAATAGCTCTTTATATAAAGTATGACAAAAAGCTCTTTCCGATGCCGAGAAAAAAAACCTCTTTTAGATGTCAATATAAAAGAGGAAGCATTTTCTACACCTTTTATAAGTTTAAATATAGGATAATAATTTATAAATAAAACAATAGTATTGTTCAACAGAATACTTTTTCATCTTTCTCTTTCTTTTCTGTTTCTTGAGCGAGCTCTGTTTCTTGGCGTTGTTGATGAATAAAATTAACTATTTCACGTCAAGAAATCCTTTCATACGAGCGAGTTACGACTTCTACCTGGTTGCGACTTCTAAAAAACGAGTGAACATAAAAACAGTCTATTGCCTAAATGTAATACAAAACAGCAAACATGATTAGCTGAACGGAGCAAATTATGCTTACCGACTATTAATTCAAAAAGAGCTGATCCTTTTAACCCTCTCATGTTTCCAGCGCGGTCCTTTCTTTTTGAACCCACTAGGTTAGATTGGAACAGGAGTCAAAAGGTAAACAGCCTGAAAATATATAAAAATGAGTGTGCTAAATAAATTTACAACCATCAAAATGACTGTACAACGATGTATTTTATTATAAAGTACTTAAATCAAGCTAAACATTTGCACCTCTCAGATTTGCTATGAAAGCCAAGTTATTAAAAACAGATATTGATATTTTTCTGTCTTCTATAACATGACTTTTTAGTTGAATTTCACTAAAATTAAGTGTTGTAGACTCATGACAATTTAAAAATCCGTTATTGACTAAAGACTATCAATACAAAAAGATGATTCAACTAATACACCTTGAGAGTTGTTATTCATTTAACTGGATAAAAGTATTAGTCAAAGCTTTATTTTAGTCTGAAACATAACGATGCTTTACTTAACAACATAAAATAATAAAAACTGGCAATATCAATAGTAACTCAGATGAAATACACATAAACAAAAATGAAGACTAGAAAGCTGCAATGATGTTTAGATATAAGAATGTATACCTTTCCAGTATCATTTTTACTTGGTTTTTGTATCCAAACCAAAATATTTGCCAACAGTTCTAAAGATAAATCTGTTGTCATTATGTGTATTTTTTAAATTGCTTTGTTAATGACAGACAACAGTTAACAAGGAAATAACAAATTTAACATAAAATTCAATGAGCCAATCTTTTGTATAAACAATTTCACCATTCAACTAAATAAAAACAACAAATTTATTCAGATCATTTAAAAAAATATATATATAAAAAAAATTGCAAGCCTACTGAATGCTTCTTCTTTTCTATCGTTCGTTTCACTGGCACTTGAGCAAGTAAATATAGACAGAAACTTTTTACAGGTTTTATTTTTCGTCTGAAAATAATTATTTCAATTTAATATGTAATAAACAACGTCCTTCAAGCACAACTCATTAAAAAATTAGTCCAAAAATAAACGGTAAAACTTTTTTAAAACACGTGTTTGCAGGTAATTACCTGCGACTAACTTATTTGAGACTAGATAATATCAATACCATCTTACTGGCACCACGTCATCCACTTTTGCTTCTTCCAATTAACATTTTTTTAGCTAAACAGCTGCAAATATATATTTATTTCAGTATATATATATATATATATATATATATATATATATATATAATATATATATATATATATATATATATATATATATATATATATATATATATATATATGTATTATATATGTATAATATATATTATATAAAATTAAAAAATTTGTTTTATTTTTAAAAGTAATATATATAATATATATTACTTTTAAAAATAAGACAAATTTTTTATTTTTATTTAAAAAGATTTTATAATTCAAAACATGTTTCGACTATATATAGTCATCATCAGTTAAAATATATTTGTTAAAAGCGGTATAAAATATAGTATATAATTGTAAAAATAAACATAATAAAAATTGTAAATAAACTTCCTATCCTCGCAGTCAGAAAGTCACATGGTTATGCAAAATAACAATTGCGCAAGTTGTTATCATCTTGGATGGGGGAAAACAAATGATTAGTTGAGTTAATAAAGCAGGACAATTATTACGAAAAAGTGGTTTAAAGAGTTTAAAAAAAGAAATATCGGTTTACGAATATTTTGAAAAAACGTATTTACAAAACATATATATATATATAATTAAATAATATATTATTTATATTTACACATATATCTATATGTCAAAAATCACTTAAAGACACAACAACCCTTGTGCATTTTAAAGACTTTTATGTTATGCCATTGTTTTCGTTTCATAACGAAAGTTTATTTTCTCCCAACTAAAATGGTAGATGTTCGCGGCAAAGATTATGACGTATTCCGACTGCGAGGATATATAAAAAAAGATTTATTAAAAATTATTTTAACAAATGTCAATTATATAAATATATATATATATATATATATATATATATATATATATATATATATATATATAATATATATATATATATATACTATATATATATATATATATATATATATATATATATATATATATATATATATATATATATATATATATATATATATATATATATATATATATATATATATATATATATATATATATCGTAATTACGATGCTGTGGGTTAAAACCCATCTTTGTTAGGTTCTATTGGCAATAATTATTTTTAAATTTCTTAAGCAAATAATGATTTCCTTATTAACAACCGATTGACGTCTTTTCGACCTCTTTTTTGAAGACGTCTAATTAAAAGACGTCTTTTCCTCGTCTTTATTTAGGCTGGTTATAAAAATACATAAACAAGTCATAAAAAAAACGTCTTTCATACGTCTTTTTTCCCACTGGGTAATAGGAAATTTTATAGAGTTTATATAGGCCATATGTTTCAAAATTTTACAGAAAATTCTATAGAACTTTTTTTCCTGGGAAAACGAGGAACTGTAAGTTTTTTTGCACACATCTAATTTTCCACTTACAATTTGTACATAAAAGTTCCAAACATCTAAAGTTCCACTAACAATATAAATAATGTACATATAAATAAATTCTCGAAGTATTTGCATTTTTTTATTGTTTATTACAGGAATTATTAGGAATAAAAAAATAAGCAAATAATAATTTAATAAAAAATAACTATTAATTTAATTCGTATAACTTAAAAGTTAGAAATATATTGAAAAAACAGACGAAATTTCTATAGTTCCATCAAAGGTAATCCTTTATAATTTTCGTTCTAGATAATAATTTTTTAATTAGTTTAGTTTTTAATTAGATTCGGTTTTTCATACTTTTTATAGGATTTTCCAAACAAATCTTTGAAATACCGTTACATGCTTGTTGGATAAATGTTTTAAGTTCTTGTATTGTATTATATTGTCGAGAATTTACATATATAGTTTGCGCCAATATTCTCCACAAATTTTTAATAGGGTTCAAGTCAGGTAAACATGATGGCCACTTTAAAACATTTATATTTTTTTTCTTGGAACCACTTTTTTACACTTTGTGCCGTGTGAATCGCCGCATTATTTTGTTGGAAAATCCAGTTCTTAGTAGGTAAACCTTCACTAAACTCTGTTAAAACATCTTCTAAAAGATCTACGTAATTTCTTGCATTCATTTTTTAAATAATAAAACATATTGGAAATTTGGCGTGGAAACAAAATGGCCCACACCATAACTGTCCCTCCTCTTAAGTTACAACTCATAGCCATGCTATCTTATTTTTCAAATCATGCTAATAATACTTAAAACCAAGAGGCCCATCTAAGTTAACCTTTTTTCGTCGGAAAAAATAACATTTTCTCATTCTGCATCCCATGCCATGTGGTCCTTTGCAAACTTAACTCTTGCACTTTTATATTTTTTTGTCAATGGTGGTTTTGTGATCATTCTTTTTCATTGGAATGGTCCTGATTTTGACAAAATTTATTTTGTCAAAAATAATAAATAAAATAAAACCTATTGATTTTCTTTGCAATTATTGTTGACTTATAGTCACAGGTAATTCAAGTTCAGGCTTTAGTTGTCGTGCTGTTTGTACTCCAGATGACGCCAAACGGGAAAATGGCAAACTGGAAGAATGAAAACGGCAAAATGGAAGAATGTTGCCTTTTGGTTGTTTTTTTATTTCCGCCCTTAAAGTGATTTTTGTTGTAATTTTTACCTAAGTTTATAATATTGTTTACTTCATGATGAAACCTATTGATTTTCTTTGCAATTTGTCGATTGGACAAACCCATATCTTTGTAAGCAACAATTTTTGCTTTTTCTTCCTTATTTAACACCTTTACACGTTGTAATAATTAAATAACAAATTTTAATTAAAAATACACAAAACTTCCATATAAAACAAACAAATTAAAAAAACCTTACTCAAACTTCAATTAACTCTTATTAAGTGTTCAAAACAAACTAATGGAACTATAAAAATTTCGTCTGTATGTATACCAATTTTAAAAACATTCTAGAAAATTTAGTTTTAATTGTTATAGAAACACATAAAATTGCCATAAACTCATTTGTTTGCAATAGGTCTAATAAAAAAGACTTTTGTGGTTAATTTTATAAATGCGTTCCGCGTAAAATCAGCAATAACTAGATGGAACTATAGAAATGTATACTCACCGGACAAAACAGCTTAATATGCTGAAATTACTTGATATATATATATATATATATATATATATATATATATATATATATATATATATATATATATATATATATATATATATATATATATATATATATATATATATATATATATATATATATATATATATATATATATATATATATATATATATAAAACAAGACCCATAATCGTAAAAAAGTGCTTAATATAAATATTTTTACATAAACACTTTTTTTATTAGAAGCTATACTATTGAAATTACAGAAACCTAAGCTGCGTATGACTAGCTAAACGCAGTGAGCATGCGTTGTCCGGGGGACGTTTGTGAGACGTCTGACGGACGTCCCCCAGACGACGCATGCTCACTAGGACGCAAAATGTTGATAAGTTTACAAAAACTTATTTGTGTATCAGTGTATCAAAGCAATATTTTTAATGATATCAATTTTATAATTTGAGTTTTTAAATTAATTTTAAGTAATTAAAATTAATTTAAAAACTTTAAATTTTTTTCCAGGTTTTTAAAGACTATAGACATTGTAGTAATATTATTTAATGAATACGAATGTCCTGGTTTTATAATTGAACTATTTGTTATAAAAATGATCTTTAAATATTGCGTATGTGAGAAAAATGTTTTAGTTTTAAAAATATGTTTTAGTTTAGTAAACAACCCGGTAGGAAATGAGCTAGCGACTAGCGAGCGACTAGCTATCTTTGTAGCGATTTTGAAGCGATTTTTTTTTCCTATTTTATTTTTTGCTAATATCTTTAACATCTTAAAAAATTCGATTTTTACTGTTGAGTCTATTATAATTATGAGGATAATTAAACTTTAAACATTGCGATTTTGTAGCAATGTGTCGCTAGCTAAATATCGTAGCTTTGTAGCTGGCTACAAAATATCTACAAATCTATAGCTGGTTGGTAGCTACATATCAAAATTTTTTAGACAACGATTTTAACACAATATGACACTAGCTACAATCGCCAGTGGGTCTTTATCTTATTAAGCTAGCTGTCCTCATAGCCAAATAGCTGTCTTTATCTGTACAAATATCGATAGCTTTTTGCTTACTTAAAAAGCTAGCGATCCTCGTGGCCAAATCGCTGTCTTTATCGTTACGATTATAGCTAGCTATTTGCTAGCCAATTTCTCACCGGGAAGGTTTTATCAAAAAGTCTGGTACGCATACATGATTAGTTAAAAATACAAGTAGAGGTAATAGATAAGGCAGCTTAGTGTGTTAATCAAAATTAATAACTTATCTTGGTTTTCTTTTTTACGCAACAGTAAGTTCCGTAAAATCAAGTAAGTTTGTTTATAATGTATGACGTAAGTTTGTTTCTCCTAAAATAGATGAATATGACGCGGGTTTGTTAAAAATTCAATCTTTTTTTTCTTCCATTAAAGCTTTTAATTAATAATAAAAGTTATTAAAAATTATTTTTGAAAATTCTTTAATTGTTTTGATGACATTGACATTTTTTATTCGACCTATTTATTAGTTTTTATTTTTGTAGAATATGCTAAATATTCTCTATTTGCATAAATTATAAATATGTTCAATTCGCATAAAATATAGATCAATGAATTTCCTACATGAATAAGAAAGATATTCAAAAATTCAAAAATTACTAAACATGAGAAAAAATTAAAGCATAATTCACAATCCTTTCATGATTTAATAATATGCATCCATTTGTTTGTGACAAATCGAAACATATCCACTCTTTTTAAAATTTCTTTTTTCTTTTAGTGTCTCATCTCTAATTTATTGATACTTCTGGAAGTATTTTAAAAACTTGTCAGTATTTTAAAGAAACAAGGAACTTCAAGATTAAGGTTGGATAAGTATATTAATTTTTTTTTCCTCTCACAATATATATGTACATAAATATATATATACATACTTAAATATATTTTTATGGACAAAAATGTTTTTGTTTCTAACGCT